AATACTGATAATAAAATCACTGTTAAATATTGATAGTAATCAAATACTGAGAATTATTATGCAAAGGTGAAAAATGAGAAAATCATAATGTTTACAAAAATATACTTATATTCCTAATTTTCTCATGTCTCATAAACTACTAGATATCGAAGGTTATCAACACATTCCAAACTTTCATGAATTCTTCTACGATAATTTCGATCCCAAGCGGTATACCGCTGCTGGTCATCATCCATGTCCTGACTGCATTAAACTGTTGCTTAACCTGACGATCGAGCGCGCACGCGGTGACTCTGATGACTCCAACGATGTTCTTACGATTCATGCTTATATAATGTATCCTTATAGTGTTCACAGTATATTATAACATACCTAGCAAACACCAAATAATAGTTACATAATTTTTACTTGTTGTTCATTGGATAATTTGCTGATAGATATTGGAACAATGCAACATTCAATATACGATGAATATTAATGTAAAGTAGTGAACCAGTGATAATTACTTTTACATTTTTAACAAAATGTTATAATGATTAATCCAAACAAAAAAAAATTAAAAAATTCAAGAAAATCCAAATTAAACAAATCGAATTACTAAATTTTGAGAGAAACTTTTAAAAAATATTATTTAAAACAATAGTGTTGTTTCATCAAATGACATGGTTTCCTTGAACGAAATAAAAGTTTTATTTTCATCATTTTAAAAAATGATATTTCGTTTAAGAATATAATATTTTAATGAAATAAAAAAGAACCACTAAATTAAACAAGTACGAATATTAAATCTAAAGAGATTATTTTCTCCGAAAAAACGGTATAATTCCTAACAGCACGGGGACGTTCTGAGGACGTTCTGAGGACGTTCTGAGTAGATCGCAATGCGTATATTGCGATCATCTCAGAATGTTCTCATATGTACTGCGATCGAATGAGTACGTTCTGAGTAAATACACGCGCGATAGAAAAGCGTACGTATCATTTCCGTATCCCTGAGTGAAATCTGAGAACATT